CTCGACAGTCGCAACTTTTAAGTAAGTTGTACGCGAAGTCCACTTTCGCAGCTGGGGCTCGAAAATCGCAACTTTTAAGTAGTACGCGAAGTCCACTTTCGCAGCTGGGGCTCGAAAATCGCAACTTTTAAGTACGAAAGTAGTACGTGAAGTCCACTGTCGCAGCTGGGGCTCGAAAATCGCAACTTTTAAGTACGAAAGTAGTAGGTGAAGTTCACTTTCGCAGCTGGGGCTCGAAAATCGCAACTTTTAAGTACGAAAGTAGTACGCGAAGTCCAGTTTCGCAGCTACAGAAAAGAAAGAAAGAAAGAAAGAAAGAAAGAACGAAGGAAGGAAGGCAGGAAGGAAGGAAGGAAGGAAGGAAGGAAGGAAAGAAAGAAAGAAAGAAAGACAGAAAGAAAGAAAGGAAGGAAGGAAAGAATGAACAAATGACGGAGAAACAAAAGAAATTGTGAAAAGGAAGAAGAAGAGAAAAAAAACAAGAAAAGAAAGAGAACGAGAACTATAGTTTATATATTTTTGAAACTTCCGCCCACCGGCTTCGCCGGCTCTACTGGTAATCATCACGACGCATCCTCAGCATCACCAGCAGTCATGATGATAATCCTGCCCATGCATCTCTTGCATCTCCAATCGGATGATAATCATCACGACGCATCCTCAGCATCACCAACAGTCCTGGTGACAATCGTGACTACACATGTTGTGCCGCGTTGCAAAGCAAGTTGCGCCTGGAATGCAGCGTGCTGGGCCTAATCCGAAAGATCAATGCTGCTGCAAATGTGGACCTGCACAGTCACATGCGCAAGCATGACAAAACAGTGCACGCCTGTGGACGCACCAGCTGCGCGAATTCGGGCTGCAGCATTTTGTATTTCAGGAAGCCCTTGACCAAACTGAAGGCGACGGGCAAGTTTTCCGCACCGCCTCCGCAATACAGGCCACTCTTCCAATGTGGCGGGCCGCCTGCTAGTTGTGTAACTAAAGCCTCAAATGCACTCCAAACCTCGCCTCCATGCAACCAGATGCCTCGATCTTACTAGATGCAGCAAAAACACCAACTCTTTGACATTGACAGGCCAATCTTCACACTCTTTCCGCAGCTCCACCAAATAGTCAGCAAGACTTCAAAGCCATCGCAGCAAACTACCGTCGGTGGCATATTCCGTGACCACAATGTTCGACCCTCACAAAAGACACACCGCAAAATGATTTTTAACCATGTTCAAAAAGGAACCTGGCACCTTACTTGCCGCCGGAGGTAGGGATAAAATTGGATTGATTGTGTCAGAGTGGGCCCTACAAAGGCATGCCCCCCTTAAGAAGAAACGCGCCCATGTCCCCTACAATAAAATTAAGGAGTCCAGTCTCAGGATCGTAGGCTCCTGTGTGGTCATTCCTGCCATCTTGTGTTGCCTTGGGGAATAAGCAAGCTCTAAACTTGCTTAGACGTGGGAGGGGGGGCGAGGCTGCCTGGACAGCTTTTCCGCGGACTTTGTCGAGGGGAGGGCTCCGCAAAAGTGCTCTGCGAAATGTGGCAAAACTGTGGCAAAACTTTTTTGTGGCAAAACTGTGGCAAAACTTTAGTGGCAAAACTGTGGCAAAGCTTTTTTGTGGCAAAACTGTGGCAAAACTTCTCCCCTTTACTTTGGTCTTGAGTTTTGCCACAGTTTTGCCACAAGGGTTTTGCCACAGTTTTGCCACAAAAAGAGTTTTGCCACACAAGTCTTGCCACAAAAAAGGTTTTGCCACAGTTTTGCCACAAACGGTCCGTGGCGGGAAAAGCGGAAAAAAACAAGGCAATTGACCAAAAACACGCGAAAATTACAAATGCAATAAAAAAGAGTGGATTTCGAAAGGACTAAGTAACCATGACCGAAACTAAAAGGACTGCAATACTAATGTATCTTACAAAGACCCTTCGTACTCAAAGATTGCCACTGTATCAGGAAGCGATCTTAGATGACCTTGGTGGGAAGCCACGGCAGTGGGGACCAGCCTTCGTTTACCATGCGTCATGCATTTCAAAGTTGGCGCGCTTGTTGCCCAAGCCACGCTCAGCTTGACACCCCATGGGAAGGGAAGAGGGTTAGCAGAATCAAGGCATATGAATTCACATATGCTTAAATGCCCAAGCAAACATTTTGGAACTCAAAAACAGTAGGCATGTTGCATATTTTAGTTGGAGCAGGCCAGAAGTAACTAAGTAGCAAGAGTCGAACGAGTAACGCCCACTTATGAAGAAGACATTGACCCTGAACAAAGCTAAGCAACCTGCCAGCCGGGAAAATTATAAATATCCTCAAGTGAAGCCAAGGGTTTGTTGCCCCCAAATAGTTCTTACCCCATCTCCAACCTTATTTTGCTTCACCCAACCCATCCGACCCCATGGCAAACCCCGCCCCGAAGGGCCTGTTAAATTCTAATCTTTGGCGAAATTACAGCTTCCCTTCATAGAGCCAACCTTCATTCTTTTTGACGGGGTAACGCATTGAGAAAAGCCTGTTTCAAACCTTCTCAACCAACCTCCGGCAATCAGCCAAGGGTACCCATCCCCCCCCCCCACCTCGAGTCATGTAGCACTACCAAAAACTGTCCTAAAAAGCAAAGCGTGTATTGCCTCCTAACGATTGCTTCAACCCGTATCAATTCCGCCAGTGCTAGCTTCCTTCTGTGAAGCCAACCGCACATCAAACATTTATGGAACATGGTCAACTAATTCCTTCGTGTAACGACTTCTGAACAAACGTCCCAAAGTGGGTACCTCGAACAAAGTTATGCGGTACTAACGGAATCCAATCCTAAATGAAGCTACGCGCCCTAAACAATGCTTATTCCCTGTTGATTCCATTCTTTGGTGCCATTAGCTTGCCTTTATAATTCTGACCAAACAACAAATACATTGGCTTGTTGCACAACATGTTCAAAAAGGGTCCCAAAACAATCAGCTAAAGGTGACCCCCACAAAGAAATAGGCTCCCCACACTAAATCAAGCCGATGGTCTGGGTAAATAAAATGAACTTAATGGCCTGGGTCACTTTTGGAATAGATGCAAATGCGAAACCAAAAGTTTCCTTTTTGAAGTAGTATTGCCAAGCTTCTTGAAACCTGAACCCAGCACAGAAACAATTCGCACATAGCATTGCCCCTTCCAAAGAAGTCTTGCCCAAGAACGTTTCCTCGAAACAGATCCTACTACAAAAGCATTTCAAGAGTAGCACTCCCCTCCGAAAATAGTACTGCAAAACTTCCTGAATTTTGACCCAAAACAACACGTGTATTTTATAAGTGGCCTTCCAAATTAACCCAAAACATCCGACCCAACACCCACAGTTTTAACATGGCTCGCGCAAAAGCATACGCCTAACTTGCAAAACTTTTGTCGAAGTTCTGCCGAGGCTCTGCGCCATCCGCGCTCGGAATAGAGCGGCGGCTGCGGGGTTCGCGAACGAGACCCCGCAGCTCGCATCCACGGCAGTGTGCCGGCGGGCCTCAGAAAAGCGTAGAACAAACAAACAAACAAACCAGCAAGCAAGCAAGCAAGCAAGCAAGCAAGCAAGCATGCGTGCAAGCAAAAACAACAGCAAGCGCAACGATGCAAACAAATTAAGAGAGCCAAGCAAACGGACAGACTGACTGACAGGACACACGAGCAACGGGCAAACAAACACAACAAAGCAAACAATAACAGAACAAGCAGACAAGCAGACAACGCAACCACAACCCTTAACAAACGGAAACACAACCAAACCACAGAAACTAAACCAGGGCCGAAACCAAACAGCCACGCAAACCAACACCAAAAATGAAACTAACAGCGGACCAAAAAGGCTCCTGCCTCCTGCCGCTGCTGCTTCTGCTGTTGTTGCTGTTGTTGCAGCGGTTGTCGTTGCCGTCGTCGTCGCCGTCGGCATCGCTGTCGCCGTCGTCGTTGTGCTGTTGTTGGTCTGGTTGTGGTGGTGGTTGTGGGTGTGGTTGCTGTTGTGGTTGGAGTTGGGGTTGCGGTTAAGGTTGCGGTTGTGGTTCTGGTTGGGGTTGGGGTTGGTAAGGTTGCGGTTGCGGTTGCGGTTGCGGTTATGGTTGCGGTTGTTCCTGCTGCTGTTGCTGGTGTTGTTGTGGTTGTTGCTGCTGCTGTTGCTGCTGCTGCTGTTGCTGTTGCTGTTGCTGTTGCTGCTGCTGCTGCTGCTGCTGCTGCTGCTGCTGCTGCTGCTGTTGTTGTTGTTGTTGTTGTTGTTGTTGTTGTTGTTGTTGTTGTTGCTGTTGCTGTCGCTGTCGCTGTCGCTGTTGCTGTTGCTGTTGCTGTTGTTGCTGCTGTTGTTGTTCTTCTTCTTGTTGTTGTTGGCTCCTTCGTCAAGTAAACGCGAGTTTTAGCACGTTCGCGGCGTGTAGATTTTCGTTGGCAGGCGCAGCCTTTTGCGCATGTTGGAGCTCAAAAAACCGTCATTTGACTGCACAGGCGCGCGTGGCAGCAAAGACGTGGATCAGGGGTGTGGGCGCCGGGCGAGCGCACCTGCTTCGTGTGGCCAGCGCAGCGTTTCACGCACTTCGGAGACCGAGCACGCGCGTTTCGTGCGGAATGCGCAGCATTTCGTGCACGTTGGGCGCAAACAAGAGAGCCGCTCGCGCAGCATTGTAATCGCGCCTGCCAAATGGCTTTTCTGCACATTTTAAGTTTTCCGTTGGAGCCGAACCCCAGGCGAGAAAGCGATTTGGTCAGCAAAGCGAGTCAAGCCCTTCACGGGTCTCCAAGAGCCTTGAACGTGGAAAACGCACAAGTCACATGTAAAACCAATGCGCCGCGCAATCCGCTGTACCTGCGCGCGTTTTCGCGACGGTGGAGCGTTGTTGTTGTTGTTGTTGTTGTTGTTGTTGTTGTTGTTGTTGTTGTTGTTGTTGTTGTTGTTGTTGTTGTTGTTGTTGCCGTTGCCGTTGCTGTTGCTCTGCCATATTTCCTGGGGCTGAAAAACATAACAAGTCCACTCACATGAATTAAGCCCTACTAAAGGCTCTCATGCCCACACGCCAGGCCGCTGCTACCTGCGCGGAAGCAAACCTACGCAAGCTGCGGTCCTTGATATGCACGGTGGGTCCAAACGCCCAATAGCTCGTGCGTTGGCCTCATGCCACAACACAGTGCATTCTCAAGCACGGATGCACCTCGGCTTGACTGCAGCAACTCTGCCACGTCCTCAAACTTGCACTTCGAGGCAAGCACCGCCAGCTGAGAACATAGACGTCTGGCATACGATTTTGTAGACAGACCCACATGACCACCATTGGCCCAAGCACGGGCAGATGAGAGATCCAACCTCGGATCCTGATTGTTTAGACGTAATCGACAAATACAGGCCAAATACTCGTAGACGCTCGGGACCGTGGTTGCGCCCCCGTCTGCTTCACCAACCTTGCGCAGCCCGGCTCCTGCAAAAACTCAGCAAGCCCCTGCAACTTGCCAGCTTCAGCGTCGAAGGCGCCGCCGCCACTCCATCCACAGCAGCAGAAGCCTCTCTACTTGCTCAGGACAAAAAACGAAGCGCTCCTGCGGCAGCTTCCCACAGTGCTCCACACTACAGTCCGCCAATGCTGGGTACTGACCAACAGCCGCACGCCAGAACTGCAACGCGCCATCGCTGTCCTTCGCAGAGGTTTAAGAACTGCTGAAACGGATGCTGGTACTTCGTGCCAGCAGCATGGCCAGTCAAAAGGTTGCTACTCGAACTTCATCACAGCTGAATTTGAGAGAACAGCACAGCTTTGATAGTCAGACAACGTCAACAACAGGCTGTCAAAAGTTGCTGATAATTTCATATTCCAACAGTTATGCAAATTGGCTTGTCTGTTTTTGATGGGGGCAGGAACCTAGTAGGCAGCACCCACTTTTGAGGGCACATAACAAAAAACAAACCCAAGTTGCCACCTGCAATCATTAAAGGAACCGTTGCTTGGATAGTTGGAGTTGCGTGGGAACAAAATTGGAGTGCGTTTCCCTGTGGCATCATGCGTGTTTAACTCTTTGAACACCTAGGGATTTCCACCTGGACGTCGAAAATCTAGTCTGCCTACTGGCGCTCAGGCTGTCGCCGCAAATGCAGCTTTGCAAGCGCTACGTGTTGAAGAATCTTCAGCAGCCGCCTGTGCACAGCTCGCTGTCTCAGACTCGCGCCGCAAAGACTGCGTTGGTAATGCAGAGGATGCTACGATGATAGTTATCATAACAGTCGTCACCCTTATCATCCTCAGCATGATTTTCATCACAGTCATCACCCTTATCATCGTCATCATGATTGTCAACATCATATCATCATGATGAGCATAATCACCCTTATCATCATCATCATGATGGTCTTCATCATCTCCGTGGCATTGGACACTTTAACAAAGATTGGACCCTTTTAGCTTCCTTCTAAACCAACCCCAAAAAGGCATCTCTCCCAAACAACACACAAATAGGTGCCAGGAAAACAACCGTTTTGCTGTGCATGTGTGGGCTCCCCTGCAAAAAAGGACACACCCACTATCTTACATTGATATTAGATTGCGGAGGCAAAAGCTGAGGTTGGGCACCACCCTCAACACAAACTCCCCAGCAACCGTGTTGGAACCTTCACTTAGCCGTGTCCTTTCTTGAAAAAACCCGCCAAAACCTGGACCTTCCGTGGGCACTTTTTTTTAAAACCCTCCGCCTAAATCCGTCTGTTTCGCGGAAAAAGTGTTGGCTGAAACAAAAAACTGTCCGTGTCTTAGTTTGTCTTTCGATGTAATCCCACACAGCGAAAATAACTACGCCGCTTCCGCATGCTCGCGGATCAGCGGCTGGTTGTAGTCGAAGTCCTTGCTGGGAGGCCGCAGGCCCAGGTGAGAGTAGTAGTGCTGCCCCGCCCGGGTCAGCTGCCCGTCCGCGCGCAAGAGCAGCGCGTAGGCCCCGGGTCCGCGCCGCAAGTTCAGCACGACGGCTCCATCCGCCCCCGTGCGAGCCCGGGCGCCGCCGTCCGCGGCCTCCGTGATCTGCTGTCGTTGTCTTGCCCAACTTGCCATTCTTTTTTTACGGGGCCATTTTTTTTTCCGGCCGCGGGCTGCCCGCATTCTCCGGGGCATCTGTGCAAGTTACAGCCGGGGAGAAGAGCTTTTTACACGGTTTTTGTCTCCCGATTCCTATTCTCCGGGGCATCTGTGCAAGTTACAGACGGGGAGAATAACTTTTTACACGGTTTTTGCATGGTTTTTTGGCATGACATGATTTTGCTTGATTTTGCACGGTGTTGCATGGTTTTGCTTGGAATCGGCATGTGGTTCACCCCCCAACATGTGGAAGTGCCCTCCCCCCGCCGATTTTTTTCCCTGTCAGGCTGCCGTGCGTGTCAGGTCGGACATCCTGGCGAAGCGCAACTCCGCGGGGTGTGGCGCTGGTGGCCGGGTTTTTTTGGGCAGTGCCGAGCGGGCACTTAGGTAACGTGCCGAGCGGGCACCGTAGGACCGTGCCGAGCGGGCGCCGTAGGAGTGCCGAGCAGGCACAGCGCCGAGCAGGCGCCGTAGGAGTGCCGAGCAGGCACAGTGCCGAGCGGGCACTTTTAGGAGGGGGGGCCGCTGTGAAAGTGGCGGCCGCTGTACAAGTGGCGGGTGGTGCCGGGGGTTGCACTCTTTTGCATCCTGATTTGGCTGAAACATTGAAAACTGGCTTGCCTGCCGCTGCCTGGAATTTGAAACTTGAGCTTGCGCAAGGGACCTTACTTTCTAAGAATGAACTATCCCTTACAGCAAGCATGTTTGTGAGAAGCCTTGCGGCTTTGCTAACAGCATCCTCTATTGCTTTGCAGCTACATGACAAGTGTATAAGAACAAGCGGAGCTTCAAGGAGCTGCTTACACGAAGTGAAAACAACAAAGCTGTTGCAAAGGGCCCACCGCAAGCACCAGTCCCAGTAGTTCCTGTGGACCACGCTTAAAACGTGTGTCGCACGCCCCCGTAAGAGTTGACCTTGTAAGAACTAAAACCATGTTTTCCAAAACTCTTGTCGCAGGCACATAGTTTGGCAATTTTGTGTTGCCCATTGCCAGGGCTAAAACAGGAAGCATTCCACACAGCGCATAGCTTCCCAAAATCCACCATAGACACCATGCATTTTTGGAATCCTTGGTTTTCCGTCCGTTTCCCGCCGTTTTCCGTCCGTTTTCTGTCCGCTTCGAATTGTCCCAAGTCAGGCAATTTTTGCAACATGTTGCAAGAAAACAAGGTGGGCGAAGGTCTGTGAGGCTCTCAAAGCCCAACAGGCACAAAACAACCAAAGCTTATTGAGTTTCTTGCAGAGGTTGGCAAACCAACTTGCGCCATGTTTGTGCATCCTGGCGAAATTCCTTGCAGCCCCAGCCCTTCTTTTCAAACATGTTCAGAAGTACTTTTGTTTGTGGGTAGCTGGGCCACAAGCATTCCGGAAGCAACTCAATCCTCAAGCCTTAGGTTTCTTGCCTGGAGCAATATCTTTGGACATTTTCTTTCCAAAAATATCGGGAAGTCAAATAGGTTTGGACATGCAGTTACTTGTGGTAACAACACGCGAGGCCCTGCTTGCTTGATTTGCTTTGGAACCCTGGCGCTGCAGTTGGCGCAAAGCATCGGTGAAACACTTGCGGAATTGTGGCCAAGTAGATGATTAAAGCCTTTTGCAATGGAAACAAAGCGCGCCGTCGTCTGCCCGAAGTTGCTGTGAATAAACACCGAAACTGCCTCAGTGTCCAAAGCTGATTTCCGTCCGTGGGCCCTCAAAAGAGTCAGCTGACGGAAATTTGGGCACAGACGGAAATTTCAGTACAACAGGAAGGTCCACAAATAGTGGGTTTCCTTCAGGTTTCCCAAAAAGGATACCTCACCTGCTAAGTCCTGAGTGGATTGACCAATCAAGTGACCAAACTTCATGCTGGCCACTTACAAGTCTTCCCACGACTTTTATTGTATCTAATATGTCTGTTAATTTAGCCGTTTGGTTCTAGCTTATAAGTTCGTTCCAGTGAGCTACCCGCAGACACTCTCCAAAAACCGATCCTTGCTGTAGTCTTCGCCGCGACCGTCTCGCCTGCCCAGACTTTTTTTTTTAACACGCTAACCACAGTGAAGCACTACTGTGGATAGTTGCGAAATCCGCACCTATGAAGATGGTTGAAGCCATAACATTCATCGGTGCTTACAGGCGAAATTCCAGTGTTGCTTAGGTGGTGCGAAATAGATTTCATCCTTCCACGGTATACCTGTCCTACATGCCGCACAGAAACCATTGATGAATGATCCGCGCGCCAAAACGCACCTTCAAATCCGAACGGTCCCACAACCGGTCCCCGCGAACAGGACAGGACTTCTGCAAAGCGCAACCCGCCCGCCTCTGGGGCTGGGATCTTGAGGCCTGTAGGCTCCCACTGCGGCGGTGGCGCCAGCCGTTTGTCGTGCATGGTGAGCGTGTTCTTCGGCGGTTGTCCTTTAGGGGCCTAGAAAGACAAGGTGATCAGCTTTTGGAATGCGGCCAGCCGTCAGCCAACATGCAAGGGGTTGGTGGCACAGGGCGGCCTCGCCGTGCAATGCTTTGCCTTCCGAGAGACGGTCACTGCCGCCGACCCCTCGCATCGTCTGCATTCCCAGCGCCTTTGGCGCCGCGCGGCCACTGGAGCTCGAGTTGAGGGAAGGCTCAAAACACTGCAAAGCCAGCATCGCCAACGCTTTCGGAAGCCCCTGTGTTTCGAGCATCGCCTGCATGCCCTGCATCGGCCGAAATTCGGGCCATTCTTCCCCAAGCCATTCCTGATGGCGCGCGTGCTCGTGCGTGCTGCGCGCACGCTTGCGTGCGTGCGTCCGTGCGTGCGTCCGTCCGTGCGCGCGCGCACGCACGCGCGCGTGGGGCCGCGCGGCGGGGGGCTGGCACACGGGCATGCGGGTGCGGGTGCGCGCACG